TTAAAATGTTTAAAAGACGATGAAAACTTTATTACACTAAAATATTAGTGATACTCTCCTGTTTCACAATCATGTTAAAACATTATTAGTGAAAATATAATGAAGTTTATTTTGTAGTAAAAATTTATTTTATTTATGTAAAAGTTATTTGTTTGGAATGATAATTGAATATTTTACGTTCAGTTGGTAAAATTAGTATATTACTCAAATTTTATAATTAAAATATAGTTGAATACTTTAATTAAAACTCAATATCATATTTTAGGCATCTTATAAAAATTCAATATGCATATTAGAGTCAATATTTATCCTTTTTATGTATTCAAATTGTGTTAGGTAAATAAAAATAGACAGCTTCTAATAAAATTAAAAAACAAAAAATAATAAATTTCGTTTTGTATTTTTTTTTTAAATAACTTTTAGACTGAAATTGTAACTAAAAAATGTCAAGACCACCAGCTCATCCAAAAGGTTGGGCTCCAGTGCCTTCTGTTACTTCACCTCCTGTGTCTTTTAGACCAGCAACTCCTACTCGCCAATCACCAGTACACCGATTACCACCACCATACATTCCGTGTCCAAAACCTATGAGACCGACTTCATCACCTTTACCTTCTGGACCGCAACCTTACAGATATCCATCGCCTGTAATTAAAATATATATATATAATTTAATGGTTATCAAAAATATACAATTAATAATATACAAATTATGTTGTTATTAGTGTCCTTCCCCTCAAATCTATGACCAATCTGGATCATTACCACCCTTGTATAGACCTCGAGAGTTCGTGGTGCTTGAAGCTCCTTCGCCTCAACAATGGCTGGACGAAGAAGACAATGTACCCGATGGTCGGTCAACAGCTGAAATTATCGCTTCACAATCTCAAGATTATGTCGACGAGAAATTGGCAGAGTATCAAGCTACGATTTATATGCTACAAGGTAATTATTATGTATTTTATATCTATACATACAGATAACTACAAACGTCGCGTAGTATGGTTCATTTAACACTTTACAATCGAAAAATACAAATTAAAAATACTTTTTAAAGTATACAAGTAAGAAAATGACTATTCATCTATTGCATTATTGAAGTTTCATAATTTTTTTTTGAAAAAATTAAATTAGTATCCAATTATGAGTTGACAAGTACAAAAAAATTAAGTAAATTCTACAATTTTACCATATAAATAAATGTTCTAAAATTTTGTCGAACATCTCTAGTATACTCGATTTCGACTTTATTTCATGAAAAAAAATACATAAAACTGTATAATTTTCTTTTATTCTAAAAGAAGTTAATCTACTGTTTACCGTAACAATACAAGTTGATGTATTTTAATACATCATTGGATTTTGAATTAAATGAATATGAACAGTGTCTTACTAAGAAATTTGTAATAGGATCTTATAGAGGAAGATAATTTCTGAAACTCAAAATGGTGAATTTTTCTGTCTATGTATCCAATTTCAAGTTGATGTATACCAACGGACTAAAGCAATAATTATAATCGTTTATGAATTTGGTTTTAATAGCTTTAAAACATTTAGTAGTTGGTTTACATAGTAAAATATTTAAGTCGATATTTTTTAGTTAATTTAATTTGAGTAAAAAATTTCGTATAAAGAGCTACAGTGTTTAATGAAAAGTAATTAAAATGATAAATTTTGAGTTTAAACCAAACTCCTACACAAAAATACATTATATCCGGAATGCAAATGCAGGCCAAAATCTCTTGCCAGTAAATAGTTCGCTAACTAATTTAGTTGCAGTTAATACAATATGATGGAATCAAAATAAATTACCAACAGTTTTGTAAACTTGATTATTTTGACACATTTAGTCATAAGTTACTAAGTAAACGAAGAAAAATTACTTGATGACGATTTGTGCGTTTCTTACATTTTACATCTAAAAATCTCCAGTAAAATGTTTGAAATAAAACGAAAGCTACAAAAGATGTTGGTCAGAAACAACAGACGAGTGTTTGAAAGATATTTAACATTTACTGGGACCGACAATAAAATTAGTAGGTTGAGTTCATGCTGTCGGTTAAATAACACATACCAAAATGAACACTTTCCAGTAAATATGAACATAGATTTAATGTATGTTGGTGAAAAATGTTTCTAAGAAAAATAAATTAAGTACTTTTTAATAAAAATATCCGAAGAAAATGTAAGTAATCTATTACAAATAATAATAACAAACCATTTTAACTATAATTTTTTATGTTAAAATCTTCTTTAATGCTTTTATAACATTTATACTACTTTAATACACTTTATAATCAAAAACAATACTATATTAAATTTGAAATTTGAAACTGAATGCAGTTAACGGAAAAAGAAAGAACGCCTAGATTTTTAATTTTTTAATAATATAGTATTTTGGATTGATAAAATAAAAAAACAACAATATAGAAACATTTTATAGGTATAAAAGCGCTAACCTTGGATTGCCCTACCCAAAAATATCGCAACCGTTTTACTATACGATATCGGCACAAGGTTATTTCCAAAATAATGCCACAAACCATCAACATAAAAACGTTCATCTAACTTCATCAAACAGGTGTCTGCTAACGTTGTTTACTAAACGAAGTGTGGGAATATTTCTCATTAATTATGAAGAGCGAGAAAGGTGTAAGACTTTTGCTGTTCCAATTTTTAGATTACAATGTTTATGTAATACAAATCGAACAAGTAACATTTTTAGGATTTGGATATGACCAACTAAATTTAAGAAAATACGAGATATTTGAAATTAATAATAGTTTATGTACAATTATTACTTGATTAATTACTTAACTTCAATAATTTACAAGTGGTTAATTTTTTGAATAGTATAAGAAAAATGTTATGAATTCTATTACAACAAAATATTATTCATTACAAACATTAATGTTTGTACATTTGTTCGATGTTGGCAAAAATAACATAGATTTAAATAAAACCCAGGATTAAATGTTTTATGAGAACGCTTAATAAGTGATGCAATAAACATTTTAAATACTTCAATGATATGCGTTTGCAAAATTAAAATTAGAATATTTTTTTATGACTATAGTTTATTTAAATAAGTTATGTTGAGTTCTCGACTTTAGATAAAGGGTATTTCAAATTTTATTACTTCTCGTACAGTATGATTTTTGTAGAGTTCAATAAATCTTTAAACTTTGTTAAATGACGATATACATAAAATATTTAAATTATTTCTTTTCAAATAAAAAAATTATTTTAACTTGGCCGCATAATCTGACATTTGATTTATTAATGAGAAATATATATTTCATAACAAAGTGACCAAAATTCAAATTGTTTTTTTTTATTAGAAATTATTTTTTCAATTATTCCGATTTTTCAAAAATAATTGATATCATGGGAAAATGAAAAAAGTCATCGATATCGTTGACGAACCCTATTATTTAATATTTACTAATATTGTAGTTGAATTTTTAACGTCAATATTTCCTAGGAACTTACAATTANGTAGTTGAATTTTTAACGTCAATATTTCCTAGGAACTTACAATTATTGTACACATTACCTTTGTTTAGACGTAATAACCATAAAACCATACAAGTATTTCTCAATTATACATATTCATAAAGTAAACATTAATAGAATAATCCTATTAAGTAAAATTATTCAAAAATAATTTTTTAGTTAGTTAATTATTTTATATAGAAATCCAAATTTTATTTAACAGCATTTAGTTCATTAACACAAA